AAGCCTTAAAAAATATTGTCTTTCCATGTCTCACTACATTCTTATTTGAGTTTCTGTCTCATCTGATTTGTCTGTCTCCTTGTCACTTTACATCACTCATGTCCTAAGAACACAGTTACCAAATCTAATGAATAAAGTAATGCAAAAGGCATAACCTAGCAACCACTGCTTTAGGATGCCATGTGTTTTGTCATGAGAAATAAAACTTCCTTTTCCTAGAGTTAGCAGAGCATTCTGCTGCTTATGATGGATAGTGCCCGTTAGTGTCACTTCCTTACTTTCCAAGATTTCTGAAGAGTAACCAAAGTGCAGCAGAGACATGAATTTTAAAAGTGTTTAAAAAGAGAAATTTAACTTCTTTAGCCAGGGATGTGCAGGGAGGGCAGGAACTGGCATCACATCCCATGGAGTAAAAGTTTGGTTATTGGAGTGATGCTCCAATAAGCTGTGATTCAGGGTATGGTAATTTTGTCCACATGTAGCACATCCTTGAAAAAGTCTAACAGACCATTTGTACCACTGATTACTTGGATCTGCTCTGGAAATAAATCATAAGCATTTTTCTGATGAGAAGAGATGCTGTGAGTGTGTAACTGGAGGGAAGGTTACCCACAGTGCCAGTCTGCTCAGCCATAGCTCCATGGTGGGTACTGACCTGTGTCCTGTGCTCTATCCACGAGCATCAGGCTTAGCCTTAGCAAGAAATAATCCAAATGATCCTCAGTATCCCTACCAGGAATCTTATGGGCCTCCCAGTCCAGCTTTATTTTTATTTTTATTTTCATTCTTTTCTTCAGACTGTGTGATATGAAGTAACATTTATGTAGGTAAATAAAGCAGACAGTGATGAGCAGCCTGTCCTGACATGCAGTAACAGAAAGTCATTCCCAGGTTCCAGAGGTTCCTCAGCCTTTGAGTCCTGCTCTGGATAATGACTGCAGGGAATCTCATGAGTGAAAAGCAATGGCTTGTTGTCAAAGACAGCTATTTCAGGGTCTTCACAGATGCTAGACTGTATAAAAATACAGCAGATTCCTTAAAATTAAACTTTTCCCTTGGGTTCCAAAGAGACATCTTGGTGTATTACACCAGCATCGAACTTCAGGCCTCACAGGTGAAATGTCTGTTCCCATCTCCTGCT